GAGAGGTCAGCGGGGGCGGGGCCGGGGCCGGGCGGGGGTGATGCCCGCGAGCCGGGATCCTGCGGGTGTGTGGTCCGGGGCCGGGGAGCCCCCAGCGCGCCTCCGGGGCTGGAGAGGTCTGACTCCGGGATCGGGTCCCCGGCCGTGCGCCTCCGGCGCTTCCTTCACCTTATTTAACTCCCAGACCCCAGGGGGAGGGAGGACCACCCCGGAGCCGGTGATGTCTATGCATTCGGACCCACAGCGACGCTTAGGACCGAGTGGAACTGACCCTTAAGGTCTCCAAGGCTGCAGTCGTGCGGGAGCGGATTGCCACATATTTCTCCCGCCGCGCAGCTCCTGTTCGCTTAGCAGCCTCGCTCTTAAACAACTGCGCCACCAGGGCTCTCCCCTCGCCTTGTGCGAGCCGGAGACTCCTTGTTGACCCTGGACCAGCCCGGCAGAGCCTCCCACGCCCCCTCGCCTCCTAGGAGCTCCCCCAGCCCGGCTTCTAACCCAGCAGCCCGAGCTGCCCCTGTCCCGGGGGCACTGCCGCCTCCCCTCCCTCATCTGCGATCTCTAGAGCTGAACCCCCCCCCGAGAGCGGAACACCCCCCTCGGCTCCTCGCCACCCCCATCATGCTCGCCCCCCACCCCAGGGAGGAGAGGCAGCTCCATTGCCTGGGATCTGAGAGACCAAGCAGTCGTCAGCCCCTATCCTTGTTTCCAGCCGCGATCAAATGGGGGAGTCTCCAGGGATTGCCCCCTCGGCGCGCCGAGTCCTTTGAGATCCCCCTTTCTAGGAACGAAACAGCGGTTGTGCAATGGTGTGGGTGGGGGTCACCTATCCCTTGGAATTGACCTGGGTAGGTAGGCTGTGGCGCAGAGTGGATGGTGCCACAGCAAATGGTTAGGGGACAGTGAGGCACCCTCCCCACACCCCCCACCCCCGCCTCCAGGAGCTGAGCCCTGGGTGATGGGAGTCCGTGGCAGTCAGGCCACAGAGCACCTTGTAATTATCCGGTAATGGAGTGGGAGGAGGACTCGAGGCCAGGGGCCAAGGAGGGGGGGATGGGGAGGGCAGTCACTCACCTGTTACTCTTGGGACTGGAGGGGCTTCTGTCTCAGATGCATGCTGTCTGATGGGGAGGGCCAAGCCTCGCAGTCCCCCACCCCCCACCATCCCTGGAGTGGGAATGGGATGCTGAAATGAAGTCACTGGGGGGCTGCTTTCAACCATCTGCTCCCCTTTCCCCAGGGACCAAGCCTGAGTCCTAATAACTGAGGGGACTCAGAAAGCTTGGCCATATCCATCATGCAGGAGCCAAAGGCAGTTAAGTGAGCCAGCCCCCTCCCTAGTGTTACTTGGTTACAGGTGAGGAAGTGGAGACACCAGCCTTACTGAGGCAGAGCAAGGCTTTCAACCCAGGTCCCCACACTCCCAGGACGATCTGTCTGCCCCTTAGGGGGATTCTGGATTGAGTAAGACAAGGCCTGGTTGATAGACTGACTCAGGGGGACTGGGTCAAGGTGGCAAAGGACTGAGGAGATGCAGGAAGGCCAGCAATCAAGGAAGGTTTCTCTGAGGAGGGTGCAAGTTTCCTTGACTCTGCAGGAGAAGAAGGCTGCTCCTGGGGAGGGAACCCTGCAGGCTCACTGTCCCAGCGGTGAAGGGAGGCAGTGCAGGGACACAGCCATGGAGAGGCAAAACAGACTAGTGGTTATGGCCTGGGCTCTGCTTCTCATCTCCACCATACATATTCCAACTGTACAGCTTCAGGCAAACACTCTAAACTCTTAGCCTTCTGTCAGTGAAGTGTGGTTCGTAATAGCAGGTCCATGCCGATACAAACACAGCTAGTTCCAATCCACCAGCTGCTCTGAGAAAGATGGACATTTTCCTCCTGTGCTATTTACAGTGACTGAAAATCTTCGAGAGAATTGGCTGTGAGTCAGTTCCAGCTCCATAACGATGAGTAGAATTGAATCTATCGAGTTTTCTTCTCCTTAGTTATGCTACATTCAAGGAGGTGCAAACTTTGGACTCTCTGCAGACATCCATTTGATTCTTTTCTGCCTTTTAAATGACCCTTTTGCTGTCTTTATGTGTGACGTCCTTGATGCCATCCCACCATTTGTCTGGTCCTCCATAATTTGTGTTCAGTGCATCAACTCTGTTCCTGAGATGGTTTTGAAATTTAACTGGAATATCCTCAAGGTTGTATTCTGGTTTTTGTGGACCTGTTTTTTTTGTTTGTTTTGGTGTGTTTTTTTTCCCTTGGCTTCAGTTAGAACTTGCATATGAGCCGTTCATGGTGTGTTCTGCAGTCAGCCACTCACTTTGTGCTGTTGACATAGAACTTCTTCCTCCTGTCTTTGTACAGATGTAGTCGATTTGATTCCTGCGTGTTCCATCTGGTGAAGTTCATGTGTCTAGCCATGGTTTGTGTTAAAAAAGGACTTTTCTATGAATAGGTCATTGCTCTTAAAAAAATTCTGTTATAAATTCTAACAATGAGATTTCCAGAACACTTAATTTACACTCACGCAAAACCTGTACATAAGCCAAGAGGCAGTGGTTTAAAATGAGGAACGCTGTGCGCCAGGTTCATAGCCTTTCACTATACTTAACACAGTCTCTATGCTGACCTTATAATTGAAGAGTGGATTTTCTGAAGACAAATAAAACATCAGGCCTGGAGGAAGATTAAGTAACAACTTGTGAAGTATAGATGACAAAAGTATGCTTATTGGAGGTGAAGAGGACTTGAAGCACTTACCGATGAAGATCAGTACGGATTGTCATTAGATGCTGTTAAGTCACCTGTGACTCAGAGCGAGTCTTTGAAAAACGTCGGAACCTTCCCCTGTCTTTACCACCATCCTCGTGATCTCACCGCGCAAGCCCATTGCTTCACTGTGTCAGTCCATTTCGTTGAGGGTCATCTTCTCTTTCACTGACCCTCAACCTTGCTCAACATGACGCCTTTTTTTCCCCAAGGACTGGACGACGTGCATGCGCAAAGTATGTGAGATGAAGTTCCACCATCCTTGTGTCTAAGGAGCGTCCTGGCCGGACTTCCGGCAAGACATATTTGTTTATTCTCCTGGCGGTTTTGTGGACTGTTCAGTACTCTTCACCAGCAGCACAATTTAGGGACATCTCTTCTACTTTGTTGTTGTTGTTATGTGCTTCGAGTTGCTTGCAACTCGTTTTGACCCTTTGTACAAGAGCCCTAAACGCTGCACTATCTTGTGCCAGCCTCACTCCGACACACTCCCTGCCACCACCCCACTCACAGAATCAATCCATCTCATCAAGAGTCTTCCTCTCCTGTGCTGTCCCTCCACTCTCCCAAACATGATGTCCCTCTCCAAGGACTGGTCCCTCCTTGCAATATGCCCAAAGTATGTCAGACGAAGCTTAGAATCCTTGACTCCAGAGTGCATGCAGCTCGGCTTCACCCTCTCCAGGACAAACCTGTTTGTTCTGTGAGATGCATAGGAAGCAATTGAAAATATCATGGCTTGGGTCAGGTGTACCTTGGTCTTTAAAGTCTTAGCCATCCTTACTCTTTAGACCTTGAAGAGATCCTTTTCCTAATATGTCACATCTTTTGATTTCTTGGCTGGGAGCTCTGTAGGGAGTTGAGCTGGTCACTGAAAGCGTGCACCTCTCTGACCCCCTAGCAGTGCTGTGAGAGAAAGGTGGACAGTCTCCTCCCATGCAATTTACAGCCTCTTAAAACTCACCAGAGGGTCGGTTATGAGGCGATCTGACTCAGCTGTGAGTTTGAAGTTTTTTTGAGAGCTACCGTGGCTCTTGATGGTACATGAATCCAAGAAAAATTAAATCATTGACTTATCTTTTTTTCCTCTATCATGATGTTGCTATTGGTCTGGTAGTGAAGATTTTTGCTATCTTGATATTGAAATGGAGCCCATATTGAAGACTGTAGTCTTGATCTTCTTCAGCAAGTGCTTCTTCTCACTTTTCTGCGAGCAAGGTGGTGTCCTCTCCATGTCAGCAGTATGGACTATATCTTAATATATAGAGAGAAAGAGAACCCTCATCACTGGACCAATAAGCGTGACGCTGCACAGAAAAAAATATTGACACTGTGAGCTATTTCATTTTACTTGGATCCACAGTCAATGCACTTAGAAACAACAATCAAGAAACTAAAACCCTATTTCATTGGGCAATCTGCTGCAAATGACCCCTTTAAAGTGTTTAAAAAAAGAGGAAAGATTTCACTTTGAGAATGAAGATTTCACTTTGAGAATGAATGTGCACCTGACCCAAGCCGTCCTGTTTTCATTGTTCTCGTATGCATGCAAAACCTGGACAGTGAATGAGGAAGACGAATTGATACCTTTGAATTGTGGTATTGGTAGAGAATATGAAATCCCAATACTGTGGTCTGCAGTTCTGACTTACATTATGGATTTACCCTTTAATGTTATGTAAATTTACCCACTTTTTGAAAGAATTGAACCCACCCTACTTGCAACAAGTTCTTTATCTCAGTCACCTTTATTTTCTGCATGCGCAGCTTTTAAATCATTGGAAAGGATTCAGACCTTTTCTTGTGTTGAAGGCTCAGTTAAGACCCATTTGTGCTTGCCCCAGCTGACCTCCAGATTCCTGACGGAGACAGTTAGGAGCAGATCTCATTCATACCCTGGACTGCCTGCATACCATGCACTGCCAGAAGAACAAACAGATCCTCCTCGGAAGAAATGCAGCCAGAATCTCATGTACACGGATAGGAGGGTCCTGGAGGGGCCCAGCATGCTTGGTGAAGACCTTCAGTGTAACGAACTGACACAGTGACCGTGGGCTCAGACCCAGCGGTGACTGAGAGGTTGGTGCAGGGCTGGGTCGCGTGTCATGCTGTTATGCATAGGATTGCATGAGTGAGAACCGATTCAACCTCTCTTAACAAGAAGAATAATCCATACAGAGTTGTTATGAAAATGCTGCAAGTTGGTGCTTGTAAAAGGTGTAAACCAGTAAGTACCCTGCATGGAGTTAGGTGTTCAACTAATGTTAATTACTACTATTAGCCGGTTAAGGGGCCTTGGTATCACAATGGTTAAGTTCTTGGCTACTAACCAAAAGGTTGGTGGTTTAAACATACTTAAGCAGATACATGGCAAAAAGAGCTGGCAATCTGCTTACAAAAAGATGACAGTCCAGAGTACCTGACAGACGGTTTGGGGTCGCTGTGAGTCAGAAGACCACTGAGGAATGGGTGCCTTTGGATTGTAGTGTTGGTGAAGAGCATTGACTATCCCGCGGACTTCCCAGAAAGCAAGCAGATCTGCTGGAAGGAAATGCAAGCCAGTGCTTAGGGCCAAAGATGGGGAAAGCTTCATGTCACGTACTCCACGCATGCTCTCAGGAAGGGCCAGTCCTTGGAAACAAACCATTGTTGGAAAGAAGAGGAAGACCTTCAGTGACATGGCATGATGTGGTGCCTGCAAACTGGGCTTAAACACAGTGGAGGTGGGGAAGACGGCGCAGGAATGGGTGGGTGTCTCTTTTTGTACGTAGAATCGCTGTGAGCTGGAGCTCACTTGACTGCTCCTAACAACAGCAGCAGCAGCAACGCAAGTCAGAATTGACTCCACAGTACCCCAAACCAGTAGTCAGCAGGTATGAATCAACTAGGGCCTCAGTGGTCTCTTGACCTTCAGAGTGTTGAATGTTTTGACTGTATCCCAGATTCCTGGTCTTCATCCCACCACCTGGACACTCATGGCTTCAGTCTCGCCCCGAGCCACACCACTTGAACACCCAGTTGGAAGAGCAGAAGGGAGCAGAAGCAGCTTAGGAAGGTGGCCTGGAGTTGTCATGACGACTCTTATGCCCATTCCTTTCTGGCCAAGGACCCCGGGTCAGAGGGAGGGTCTCCACTTCTGTGATTGTTTACATCTACAGAGCTCATCTCACAGTTGTTTACCTCACTGGGCCCCTGTGGGGAGCGTGAACCCCAACAAATGCCTCCTTGATTTCAGAGGCAAGTGGGCAGGGGACAGGAATAGAGGGCGAGGAGGCGCTGAGAAGGTTTCCCTAAAGAGAAGAAGGATGAGGTCCTGGAAGGTGGAAGAGGAAGTGGCTTGGAAATGGACGTGCCAGGATTGTGGTCTGAGTCCTGGACTCTGATTCAGATTCTACCCCAGAGACTCGCTGCTAGTAGGGACTCTTCTTGTCACTTTGGTCATCTGTGAAATGGGAGACTCCCCCAAGGCCCAGGTCATTGTTGTTCAGTGTCAAGTAGGAACTGACCCATAGGTGACCCTCCAGCAGGTTTTCAGAGACCGTAAATCAGAAGATTGCCCATCGTCCTGTGGAGTGTCTGGTGGATTTGAACCACTTACCTTTGGAATTGCAGCACAGTCTCTTACAACTAGTCCACCAGAGCGCCCTGAGCCTAGGGTGCAGGGTTTGATTTTAGGTCACTGCCTCGGTGGGCCAAGATAGTGCCCAGTTCAGCCCCTGGCAGGCCAGGAACTGTCACCTTCCACCTCTTCTCCCTCCGCAGTGGACTGTGAGCAGGACCCCCGGGACCCCATCTACCTGCCAGCAGCCCTGGAGCTCCTGGATGCTCCTGAGCACTTCCGGGTGCAGCAGGTGGGCCACTACCCACCGGCCAACTCCTCCTTGGGCTCCCGCTCCGAGACCTTCCTGCTCCTGCAGCCTTGGCCCAGGGCCCAGCCTCTCCTCCGCGCCTCCTACCCGCCCTTCGCCACTCAGCAGGTAGGAAGGGGGCCAGGGGTTGGGAGCCTGGGGTCTGCTGTGTGCGGCGCAGGGGTTTCCAGACGGCATACTGAGGCCCACGCAGGCTCACTCTGCAGATTGGAAGCCTGGCAGCCCGTCTTCCCAGATCCTGTTTCCCATCCTCCTTCCAGGTCGTGCCTCCCCGGGTCACGGACCCCCACCAGCGGCCGGTCCCCTGGGACGTGCGGGCCGTGTCAGTGGAAGCCGCAGTGACTCCCGCAGAGCCCCATGCCCGCGTCCTCTTCCATCTCAAAGGGCAGGATTGGCCACCGGGGCCTGGCAGCCTGCCCTGTGCCCGGCTCCATGCCACACACCCTGCGGGCATGGCTCACCGAGCATGCCGTTTCCAGGTGAGTGGGCAGGCCCATGGCCAGTGAAGGTCGTGGCATGGAGCTTCCCTGGGGGCCCACGGCCGGGCCACTTAGGGCTACGTGCTAGGCTCCTAACTAAAACGTCAGTGGTTCGAACTCACCCCTTGAGCCCCAGGACAAAGATGAGTCAGCGTCCCTCCATAAACATCTACAGCCCTGGCCCCCTGTGAGACTGTTCTTTTCTGTCCTGCTGGGTTATTGAATCAGAATTGACCTGATAGCATTGTGTCGGGGTTTGATTTGAAGGGATTCAGTCCCTGTGTTTAACTTTGGGCAAATGACTTAAAATCCCTGAGCCTCAGTTTCCTTGTCTGTAAAATGGAATAATAACAATTCCTATGGCTTAGTGATAAGCAGTCACAATGCAAACCCAAAGGCATGTGGTTTTAACCCACCAGCTGCTCTGTGGGAGAAAGGTGGGCAGTCTCTTCCCATGGGATTGGCTGCCTCTGAGGGTTAGCTAAGAGCCAGTTCCTAACAACAGCATGTCCTGTGGACTTGGAGTAAGAAATACGTGTGACGCTACGAGAATAACTCCGCACAGTGCCTGGCACAGAGTAATCACTCAGCAAATGTGTGTATTATTGTTATTATTACATTCATGGCCCCTGTCTCCATTATTGGGGCCAAGCACAAGAATCCACTGGACAGTGGGATTTGGGGGCCTCTGAGATTCTGAGAGAGACCTGGAATGGCATAGATATTTAAGCGCTGGGCAACTAATCAAAAGTCTGGCCATTGAAACCCACCCAGCAATGATGCAGAAGAAAGGCCTGGCAACTGCTTCTGAAAGGCCACAGGCTTGAGAACCCTGTGGAACAGTTCCACTCTTCACTCTCGTGGACGCTGTGGGTAGGAATAGACTCGATAACAGTGGGTTTCCGGCATGAAGAAGCAGCTTGAGTTATTGTCAGGACAGCCGTGGGGCGCAGTGCAGCTGGGGCACCGAGATTACCTAAGCCTGCGGAAGACTCTGTCATTGTGGTCCCATGAGAGCCATGCACTATCACCTGGGACACATAGCTGGCCCACACTGGCCGTGTCTTTCATGGACGGGTCCCTCCAAGTCCGGTTCTCTGCCATACACGCTGGTCGTACTTGCGCACCTGCCTCCAGCCCCCTTGCCCCCGTCAACCAGGGCTGTCATGTCTCCACAGCTGTCCCTGGGCGCCTGCGTGGTGGAGCTGGAGTTCCCCTCGCACTGGTTCGCCCAGGCCTCCACCACGCGGGCTGAGCTGTCGTACACGCTGGAGCCTGCAGCCGAGGGCCCTGATGGCTGTGGCCCTGGTGTGGAGGAGGACCCCGGAAAGCAGGCCCTCCCAGTGGGCAGTGTGGAGCTGCGGTCGGCGGACCCCCCACAGTTCCAAGAGGTGCCCCTGGACGAAGCCGTGACACTGAGGGTGCCTGACGTGCCCGTGCGGCCCGGCCAGACTTTCAGCGCCGCCCTCCTCTTGCGGCACAACTTCACGGCCAGCCTCCTGACCCTGCGGTGAGCTCCAGGCCTCTGGGATGGGGAATGGGGGCTAAGTGTCCACAGAAAGACCTGGCTGGTCCATGCTTCTCTTTGATGGAACACTAAACTTTTGCAAAACACCTGGCCACTAAACCTGCCCTTCGCAGCAGGCATGACCTTGAACTTGGTGTTAGAAGTAGGGAGGCCCTCCCCTCCCTAGCACCTCTCTGAGACATCCCTTTTTTGGGGGTTAAAAAAAAGATACATATTGTAAACAAACCAGTATAATTTTTTTTTAAAAAGAATAGAGGAGAACATAAATAAATATCAATAAAAAATAATATATATGTATAGCAGAACATAGACCCATGCATCAATTTCTGCATGCTCCAGTAGTAAACTCTGGTTGCATTCTTGACACCAGAGCACAGGAGCCCTCGAGTCTGTGGTCCCCTGTCCCTTGTCTCCTCCCCCTTCAGACCTAGTCCCTGGCTTAGTGTCCATCTTGATGCACTGGATTTGTGTCCTGTCCTCCAGGATCAAGGTGAAGAAGGGGCTGCATGTGACGGCTGCCCGACCAGCCCAGCCCACCCTCTGGACGGCCAAGCTGGACCGCTTCAAGAGTTCTAAGCATCACACCACCCTCATCACCTGTCACCGCACTGCATCCTCAGGCCCAGACTCAAGGTGAGCCAGCTCCCTTCTTCCTGAGGGGCGGAGGAGGAGCCCCGTTTTGGTGGGCAGATCTGTGGGGCTTAGGAGGAGGGGACAGCCAGGAGGCCCATTTCCCCAAGGGAAGCAGGCGTGAGAGCAGACTTCCAAGGAGCTGCACGCAGCGTGTGCATCACTGACTCATTCATTCAGCTACTGTTTTTCCACCCTCAGCCACATGCTGGGCACTAAGTCACCTTATTCCAGGTGGGGCCATCCCGACCTGCCACCCAGGTAGAGCCCTCACAGCCACTATCCTGTCCCGGCCCACACAGACTCTTCCTGGGATTTCAGAATTCCCAAAAAGCCCAGCATTCCCTGCAGTTGTTCATATCCACGAACTCTTTTTATTTCTGCCCTGAGCCTGGGTCAAGGCCATGGGCTTTGTGGCTGCCCCCCGAGTCTTGGTTCTGGTTGTTTGGGGATGAATAACAGTAAACCTCCTGCTCCATGTCTTCCTACTAAGCCTCAGTTTCCTTTACTGCACAACGGGGATGTAAGACATCGTGCAGGGTTTGTAGAGATTCAGTGTCTCTAGCACTGGGGGTTTCTGGCACCTAGTGACGTTTGATCAGAGGAAGCTGTGAAGGTTCTGTCTGAAGGTGGTGAGTCCAGTCCTGGGGCTGCAGGTGGAATAACCCCTCTTCATGATGGAAGTTGGTGTTAGGTGCTTCCTGCCATCCCAAAGGCTCTGGAAAGTGGCTGTGTGAGTAGAGTGGTCCAAAGACAGCAAGTGAAGCTGATGAGCAAAGTGAAGGGCTGTATGTATCCTGTAGAACTCAAGAGTGGATAGGAGCCTGGGCTCTGGAACTGGAATGCTTGCGTTTAGATCCCAGCCCTGTCACTTACGAGCTTTGGGACCTTGAATGAGCAATGGATGCAACCCCAGTCCCTCAGTCTTCTCATCTGTAAAACGGGGATGACTGTCGTGCCTCATTCATGAATACGTGAAGACTTGGGATAGTGTCTGCAGCTCACAAACACTCAGCCCCTCTCTCTTCTGCCTGCAGCCCCCTTGAACTGGCCGAGTTCCTGTGGGTGGACTTTGCGGTGGAGAATGGCACTGGTGGGGGTGTGGCGGTCACTCGTCCTGTCACCTGGCAGCTGGAGTACCCTGGCCAGGCCCCCGAGGCAGAGAAGGACAAAATGGTGTGGGAGATTCTGGTGTCAGAGCGAGACATAAGAGCCCTCGTCCCACTGGCCAAGGCAAGGAGCCCCCCCACCTCTGACTGTCTGGGCAGGAGGGTCAATTCCCAGGGGTTCCACGAGCTGAGGGGCTCCAGACTGAGCTTCTTCTGTGCCCCCAGGCAGAAGAGCTGGTGAATACGGCACCCCTGACTGGAGTGCCCCGGCACGTCCCTGTGCGCCTCGTCACCGTGGACAGTGGCGGGGCCCTGGTGGAGGTGACAGAGCACATCGGCTGTGAGTCGTCCAACACACAGGTCCTGCAGGTGAGCGGCTTGTGGCAGCCCCACGTGAGAATGCATGTCTGCACGCGTACGGGTGTGCCCCTGTCCATCTCCTTCCCCACTCGGTCCCCGTGAGGACGCTTCCGCCAGACAACAGAAACCTTATTCCAGGGGAACCCTGGTTCATCGCCTTTTGTTCCCACCTGAGGCAGGTGGCAGCCGGGTAACCTCAAGGGCCCCCAGCTCAGGTTCATTGTTGCATTGGGGGTGTCCCTGGGTGGCACAAAAGGTGAAGCATTTACTTTGAGCAGAAAGGTTGGCAGTTCAAGCTCACTTCAAAGTGCGTCGAAAGACAGCCCTGGTGATCTGCTTTCAGAAGGTCAAAGCCATAAAACCCGATGGAAGGGTCCTGCTTTGCACACACATCACAGTCGATCTGACAGCACTTAAATTGCATTTGCAAGTAACCTGCTGCTGAAGGGGAATAAGTAACATGGACTCAGGATCAGAAAGTTTCCCTTTGAAAGGCAACTTGGCTATTTAGCTATGTGATCTTGAGCAGACCTGAGTCTTAGTTATCCTGCACTCAAAACTGTTGTACGCATTTTAAAAAGCACCTAGTGTAGTATGTGGATGGAGCTCTGGTGGTCCACTCTTAAGGTGGCTGGTTCAAATCTACCAGCTGCTCCACAGGAGAAGGAGGAACAGTCTCCTCTTTGGAGATTTACAGCCTCTGAAAATCCACTGGAGAGTCAGCTGTGTTCTGACTACATGGGACGGAGAGTGAGGGAGTGACAGACTGCACGTGGGGCATTTGGTTGTTAACCGACAGGTCAGCAGCTGGAGGCCACCAACTACCCCTCGGAAGAAGGATGAGTCACTCTGCTTCCATGAAAATGGACGGCCTCAGAAACTCCAGGGGACAGCTCTACTCTGTCCTAGAGAGCTGTTGAGTCAGAAGTGACTTAACACTGAGCTTTTGTTTGTCTTCAGATCATATCGCGAAGAAACAGGGATTGTTGTTAGGTGCTGTCAAATATGATTCATAGTGACCCTGTGAAGATCTGAAGCCTGTCTTGTTCCATGCCTCTCCCTCTCTCATACACCTGAGCCCATTGCAGCAGTCAGTCCATCTCTTCTCTGACCCTCCACCTTTCCAAGCATGATGTCCCTCCCCAAGGAATAGCCTGTCCTAGCAACATGCCCAAAGTATGTGAGGCAAAGAAACAGTGTTAGCTTCTGCCATTTGATTAATATCATAATTAGAAAATTCTTATTATGGGAACCTTGCAATGACCTTTAAAGTACAATAGTTTTGACGGTCTGAAGGGGAAGCAGGGAGCTTGTACACACACAGATCCCAGCCACCTGCCTGGAGGAGGTGTCTTTCTCCCCCTGTGGTGGCACTTCGGCCTCAGGTGTGTGGCTTCTACCTGGTTCCCACCTGAGAGCCGGCCCCTCTGCCTTGCCCCTCAGCCTCTGCTTTCTCCAGCAGCAATGACACAAATGAGGAGCTAGATTTGTGAGTTCAAATCCCTCCTCTGCAGGTTGGAAGGCTGTATTGCGGGGTTTTCCATGTGAGCCCCAATGAACTCATAAGGTGACTCCATCCCTCCAGGACATACCTGATAGCACAACACAGGCTGCATTTCGGCTGCCCCCTGTCTTGAGTCGCTGCCCAAGCTTCCCTGTCCAGCCCATAGCCTTGTCCATGGTGCAGCCTACCCTCCCTTCCCCTGCTTTCCTCCAGGTGTCTGAGAACTGTGACTCTGTGTTTGTGGCCGGCAAGGAGAGCCGGGGCGCTCGGGGCGTTCGGGTGGACTTCTGGTGGCGTCGGCTACGGGCCTCCCTGCGTCTGACGGTATGGGCCCCGCTGCTGCCCCTGCGCATCGAGCTGACCGACACCACCCTAGAGCAGGTCCGAGGCTGGAGGGTCCCTGGCATAGCTGACGGGTGAGTGGACACCTGGGAACCCTGGGAGGCCTTGAGCATTCATTCAACCATGAACCCCAGTTGGAGTCTGAGACATTGTCCTGTTGTTCACAACACCTTCCTACTCACCCCTGGCCCTTGCCATCAACCTCTGACCATTCTCTGGTCCCTTTCTTTCTCTGCCCTATATCTGTCAGTAGCAATTCTGATCATGTCTGTGTACTCTTCCCTTTGCTCTGAGAATGTAAACTTCATGAAGACAGGACTTGGGGGAGCTTTTCATTTCCTGTTCTTTCACTGGTCCTTGGATGGCACAAACTGCTCAACAATGGGTCTAAAGCTGCCAGTTGGTGGTTTCCAACTCATTCCATAGTACAGAAGAAGAAAGGTCTGGCCACCTGCTTTCCCAGGGCTTACAGCCCAGAAAACCCTCTGAGCAGTTCTGTCCTGTAATACATGAGGTTGTTGATTAATTGGATGGCATAGGTTTGTTTTGGTCTTCTATTCACTGCTGTGTCCTCAAAAGTCAGAGATAGTACTGAAGTCAATAAATGTTGAGTAAGTCCTAAGGGCTTCCCCACTAGAACCAGAGGATCAGGCAACCCCTGGCCTCTGGGAATGAGGCCCCTTGACCTCTGAATGATGGTGGTCCAGTTAGGAATTAGGTGAGGGTGAGAGCAAGTTGATACAATTAGGAACGAGGGCTTGAGGAGTCAGCACCTCCAGGTGTCTTAACCCCAACAGGTGTTGGTGTAGGTGCATTTTGATGAGCAGGACTTCAGAACCTCTTGATGGGCAAAGAAGGACTTGGCCATTAGGAGGGCATAGCCTTTGGCTAGGGTGAGGGGGCGTGTGGGCCACTGAGCCCAAGGCTGTTGGGAAGGGGGTGTGACCTGCTTTGATCCCGCGCCCTAGAGACGCAGAGCACCAGACCGGCTTGGGAAGAGGCGTGGCTCGCATTGCTTGTGCCCCGCCCTCAGGGCAGAGGCTCATGGGGAAGGGCGTGATTTGAATTGACCCCGCCCACACGGCCATAGCTGGTGGGGGCGTGGCTGTTGTTGAGTCTGTCCTTCCATGCCCCGCCCACGGGGCCCTGAATCCTAGGCTGGCGGGGAGGGGGCGTGACTCGCCTTGGCTGCCCCGCCCACGGGGCCCTGAATCCTAGGCTGGTGGGGAGGAGGCGTGGCTCGCCTTGGCTGCCCCGCCCACGGGGCCCTGAATCCTAGGCTGGTGGGGAGGAGGCGTGGCTCGCCTTGACTCTGCCCCGCCCACAGGGCCGCCGAGCCCGAGGCTGCCGCTGGCCTGGAGGACGCTGAGCGGCGCGCCCGGGGCTGCCGGCTGCAGTACCAGCGCGCGGGCGTGCGTTTCCTCGCCCCCTTCGCGGCCCACCCGCAGGACGGCGGCCGCCGCCTCACCCACCTGCTGGGCCCGGACTGGCTGCTGGACGTGTCTCACCTCGTGGCACCGCACGCCCGCGTGCAGGACCCGCGCATAGCCTCTCTGGAGGGTGGCCGCATCGTGGTGGGCCGGGAGCCCGGGGTCACCTCCATTGAGGTGAGCGAATGAGGGGCGCTGGAAGCAGGCGTCTCTGGGAGGGATGTAGGTGATCCTCCAGAACACATGACATAGGCAGGTGTGAGGTGTGTAGGAGGGGTCAATAGAGTGCTTGGGGAGGGTGTACTCTCGTGGATGAGGTTGGGTGAATGAGGAGGCCCATGTGATGGATCATGTCCCCAAGGGTGGAGGACTCTATGGGAGGGAGCACGTGCGGTTGAGCCTTGAGAAAGAAAGGGCCTGGCCCCCAGGTGGGAGCCTGTTACCCTGGTATATTTAGCTCAGGTGGTTGGGCACCTGCTGGGAGCAGAAACAGGATCCTTTTTTAGGGGTGGGAGGCTGGGGTCTCACAGAGGGGAGAGGCTGTGTGCAAGGCCATCACCCCCTTCCACCCTCAGGTGGCGTCCCCGCTGTCCGACTCCATCCTTGGGGAGCAGGCCTTGGCAGTGACAGACGACAAGGTCTCCGTCCTGGAATTACACGTGCAGCCAGTGATGGGCATATCGCTGTCCCTGAGCCGGGGCGCTGCCCACCCCGGGGAGGTCACAGCTACCTGCTGGGCACAGTCCGTCCTCCCTGCCCCAAAGCAGGTGACAGTTGGGGGTCAAAAGGGTGAAGTTGATATCTCCAGATGGAGGCTGATGGCAGAAGGGGATGGGAGGAAGGGAGGCCCAGTGTTCCAGCCCCTCAACCCAGGGTTTTCAGAATGAGGACGTACTTCCTCACTGTGAGGTAGGGAGCGTCTCATGGCTGGAGGTGACCAAGCAGTGGCTGGCTGGAGTGTGGCAGCGGGAGGTTGACTAGGTGGCTCTCACCGAGGACCCTCCTGATGACCCCGGGGCTGAGTGGCAGCAGATTGACACTGGTCCCCTCTCTCCCCGTGTTGTGTCCATCTGCCTGTGTCTTTTGTCTTCTCTCTGCTCTCTCCTCCATGTTGCCTGTCTCTGTGGGAGTGGTCTCTGTGTGCATGTGTGCGTGCCCTTGCGTGTGTCTGCCTGCGTCCGTATGCCCCACAGGAGGTGGCCCTCTCCCTTTGGTTGTCCTTCTCCGACCACACGCTGGCCCCAGCTGAGCTCTACGACCGCCGTGACCTGGGACTGACTGTCTCCACTGAGGAGCCTGGTGCCATCCTGCCAGCAGAGGAGCGGGGTGCCCAGCTCGGGGTGGTGGTGAGTGGGGTGGGCACTGAGGGGCTGCCCCTGCATGTGGCTCTGCACCCAGCCGAGCCCTGCCGCCGGGGCCGCCACCGAGTGCCCCTGGCCTCTGGCACTGCCTGGCTGGGGCTGCCCCCTGCCCCTACCCCAGTCCCTGCCCTCCCATCCAGCCCTGCCCGGAGCCCACTGGCCACGGAGGCCAGCGTGGGTGCTGAACATCGGGCAGTGGGCAGTGGAGGGGGCAGTGGGGGTGTGAGGGGCAAGTTTGAACGGGTAGAGGAAGAGGCTGAGGCCACGGAGGAGGAGGAGGATGGGGATGAAGAAGAGGAGATGGTGCCTGCCCCGCAGCGGGTCACTGATCTAGAGCTGGGCATGTATGCCTTGCTGGGCATCTTCTGTCTGGCCATCCTTATCTTCCTGGTCAACGGCGTGGTCTTCGTGCTACGTTACCAGCGCAAGGAGCCCCCCGACAGTGCCACCAACCCTGCGTCCCCCCAGCCTCACAACTGGGTCTGGCTGGGCACTGACCAGGAGGAGCTGAGTCGCCAGCTGGACCGGCGGTCCCCTGGCCCACCCAAGGGGGAGGGGGGCTGCCCCTGTGAGAGTGGAGGAGGAGGGGAGACCTCAGCCCTGGCACCCGGCCCCACTGCGGGAACCACCACCAGCTCCTCCAGTACCCTGACCCGCAAGGAAGCTGGGGGGCGGCGGAAGCGCGTGGAGTTTGTGACGTTTGCACCAGCGCCCCCCACCCAGCCACCTGAGGAGCCTGCAGGGGCCCCCGCTGTGCAGTCCATTCTGGTGGCGGGCGAGGAGGACATCCGCTGGGTGTGTGAGGACATGGGGTTGAAGGACCCAGAGGAGCTGCGTAACTACATGGAGAGGATCCGAGGCAGCTCCTGACCGCATCCTGACCCCGCATCGTCACAGGCCACCAGCCTGCGCGGCAGGGCGGCGTCCACCCCACCTCCCGCCTGCCTCCTGCTCTGGTGCTTGCTGGTCCAAGTCCCCTGCCTGGTCCCCTCGAAAAGACTCCCACCCGGGCCCCTGTGCCCTGCCCCTATCCCAGACCATGGTCATGAGGAAGGGCTCATGCTCCTTATTTATGGGAATCATTTCATTCTTTGTTGGGTACAGAATAAACCGAGAAGGAAATCAGAGCTGCCCCAGCTCCCTGTGTCTGGCGGAGGGAGGGGACCGTGGGTCGGGACACGTTCAGCCCCTGTCCCTGCTGGCGAAGCTTTGTGGGGCTGGGCCCTGAGCCGCCCGCTCATAGCGGCCCGCGATCCAGAGAAACATAAAGAAGGTGACAGCCTGGATGCCGGCCAGCAGGAAGAAGTAGAGGTCCATCCGGCAATTGTTGATGTTCCCTGGGGAAAGGAGGGGTTGGCATGGGGTCAAGGCGGGGCCTCCCTGCTTGCAGAGGCTCCTTGGGAATTGGGTGGCGGGACTCTGGCTGCCTCATATCCCCTCCCCCACTATTCTTTTTAGGTTTTCTTAGAGCACAAATAGTCACATGTCAACATCCTTAATACCGTCTGTGAAACAGGCTGTTATGTGACTTGGGTGTTATGTGAACAGCACCATAGTCTAGACCTACCTTTTTTTCTTGTTAAGCATCATAGACAAGCTTTGTGCTTGAGCCGTAATTATCAGCAAACTCAGAGGAATTCGCTTTTGCATCTGGCCCCCAATCCAATTCCACAGCCATTTCTCTCTCTCAGGCACCAGTCCCTCTCCGAGATTTCTTAGCCTTGTCTCTGATCCCTCAACAAGTTGGGAGAATTTCTCTGCTTTTGAGGATCACTGTGCTTGTCGGGCGTGAGGTGCTTAAATGAGGAGCATTCATGGATTTTTCTGCCTCTGGACTGTTTAATAACCTCTTGTTTCTTTTTAAATCTATACTTTCTCTGCCTCTTGCTGCTGCCTGCATGGGCACCAGCTCAGGGGCCTTTGGGAACCTTGGTGCACCGCCTGGCTGTGCATGTTTTTTTTAAGAGAAAATGAACAAATGCTGCAGTGCTCAGGGAAATACAAGAGCTTGGACACTCCTGCCTCTCTACACAGGGGACCCTTCCGAAAGGGCAGTACATACAGGCGTGTATTAATGACTCTTTTGAGGTATGTTACAGGTTTTGCATGTCTGGTACCATCACATACTCCTGGCAGTGTGATTCTTTCGTATGCAAAAGACATAAGGTACATATATGTGTGCTGTGTATGTGAAACTGTTGTAGCCACTACATTCTATGCTCCGATCAGGATTTCAGAGCTCTGTTTTACCGTCACAGAGGACCATAAATGTGTGGATCGACCACTGCCCAAATGGGCATGTGCAGCAATGTAACTGCTGTGGACAAAAGTTATGTTTCGGGCAGAAGGGCAGAGTTCCAGAAGCAGGCACAAGCCTTGAGGGCAGGCGCACTGAATTTCAGGCTTCCTTTTCGGCAGGGAAATGGATGCCCAAGATGGGGACACGCTTTTGGGGAAGTGAGGGAGGGGTCAAGTGTCAGCTGGATTCCTGCTTTCTGCATCCAGCCCCCAGCCTCATCCTGCCCAGGGTCAAAGCATTCAGCAGTGGCCTACCTCCTTCACCTCCTTTCCAAGCTTCCTTCCACCCCCATCCCGCCTTGGGGAGGCCCCCACACTCACCGAAGTCCTCGGGACAGTGCAGCCAGCCCCTTGGCAGGGACAGCAGGGTCACCAGGCCGGAGCCCAGCAGTGAGCCCACCCCAGACAGGCAGAAGAAGATGCCCATGATGGCACCCTTCATGGAGCGAGGGGCCTCCGAGTAGGCGAACTCCAGACCTGGAGAGAGGGAGGGGCTGTGGCCGGGCAGGGAGGCTCACCCACCCTCTAAGCCTGCACCCTGGCTTCTCTGGAGAACTATCTACTCTCGCTCAGATTCATGCCCCCACCTGGACACTGGCCATGCTGCTCCCAGAACCTGTGTCTCCCATTTCAGTAACTGCACCTCCATCCGGGCACCTCTTCCATCTTTTCCCACCTCTAGGGTGATCCCCAGATCATTCTGACTTCACACACGTGCCCTCCTCTGGGGCCCCACTGCTCCAGCCAAACCCCAGCGCTGGTCCTCTACTGCCTGGCTCCTGAAAGCCCATCTAAGTGCTTCTGTCTCTAGCTGTTCTCCTCGTCCAGCCACATGGGTGGGTCTCTGGTGGGGTCCTTTCTCTGACAAAAGCCTCCTATGGGGTCCTTTTGTTCTCAGGAGAAATCTCCACATCAAACTTGGTCCTAAGACCCTGCATGACCTTCAGGGCCCCCCCCCCCAGTCCCTGACTTTAATCCCTCCACTTCTCAGCAGGCTTTCCTCCAGTCTTTGAATGCACCAACGTGCCTCTGGGGCTTTGCGAAATGCTGTCCTGCTCTGCCTATTAGGTCCTTCCCTACCTGTTGAGTTCTGCCTCCTCTAACCTTGCCCCAGTGTTCCTGCAAAATTCAGATCACTTCTCCAGCATTCGCTGCATGCCTCTTCCCCCACCAGGCCGAGCGCTTGAACTGGGTCAGTTTTGCGTGCATATCCTACCAGAGCCTGGTTCTGGGGCTGCAGCTGAGTGAGTCCCGGATCCTGTGCTGAGGCACAGCTTGTGCAGCCTTGCAGCCTGAGCTCACAGCCCAGAGAAGGAGACAGACTTGGCAGCCACTTATCAGAACACGGGGAGGGGAGAGCTCGCCCTCCTTCTAGGGCCTTGGAGAGGGCTGCATGGAGGAGGGGACACTGAAGTGTAAATAAACTTTCAATCACCAAGAGGAACAGCAGCTGTGAAGACCTAGAGGGCAGGGGGTAAGGCACTGGGGGAAAGGTTGGTGTGAGAGTGTCATCTCTAAAACTTCAGAGCTACTGCTGTGTCTACAGAAATTGGATGTTAATACGTGTCCCATTAAGCAGCCCAGCTCAGCACACAGCACCTGCCTTCCTGCAGAAGAGCCCTGAGAGGTGATACCCTTGGGATCCTGACTTCCTGGCGTCACCAGGCATAGCCCATCACTGGTGCGAGAGTAGGGAGGAACTCCGGGATACCTGGGATGCTGGCAAAAATCTCACTGATACCAATGAGCAGGTACTGAGGGATCTGCCACCAGATGGACAGCGGTGCCGCGTAGTACAGGTCCTGTCCGATGTGCTGGGACACCGTCTCGTTCTGGTGGATATACTGCAAGCGCTCCATCTCCAGGATTCCTGGGGGAGAGAGAGAGGCACTGCAAGCCAGCCCCCACCCCCCGCCCTGCTTAGCCCACGGAAAGATGCACAAGGTGGGCATTCAGAGTAGCCAGTGACCCACTGAGATGCAGAGGAGGAGACCACCACTGGCCTGAGAGGGTCCAGTTCTGAATTCCAACTCTTCCCTTTTTGCCTTGGCTGCCAGGAATCAGAGAGCTAGGCTTGTGATCCACAATCGGGACAATCCTAATGAATTGAGAGCCTATTATTTGTCACTCATCTAACACACATTCTTATAAATGAAGAAATGGAAACTGAAGTTAAGCAACCAGCTCAGAGTCACATAGCTGGTAAGTGGCCAAGGCTGGATTTCAACTTCAAAAGGATCTAGGGTCAGAACTAGCCCACTCTCTATGCCATGTCCCCCTCTATTGAAGTGTCAATACTGCAACTGTGTTTCTAACCTAGCTTTTCATGTTTGACTATTTTATCTCTATCCCCTTCATTGCTTGGGAAACAAAGCAATTTTGTGCTCTAGTTGAATGGAATTGGCCGTGGAGGTAAGGAGCCCTGCTGGTACAGTGATGTAGGGTGTTATGCCTTAGCTGAAAGGTTGCTGGTTCGAATCCATCAGATGCTCTGTAGGAAAAAGAGGGACAGTCTCTTCCCATAAAGGTCGGCTGCTGTTGGGTGTCACTGAGTCGAGGATGATTCCAAGAGAGCCGCTGAATAATAAATCTAGCCTTGCCTTTTCTTCCTCTTCCTCAAGCCCATTACTTTGTCAATTACCTTGTCGAGGGTCATCTTCTCTTTTGCTTATCCTCTACTTCCCCCAACTTGATGCCTTTTTCCCCCAAGGACTAGGCCCTCCTGACAACATGCCCAAAGTATGTGAGATGACGTTCCAGTCTCCTTCCTTCCAAGGAGCTCCCTTGTTTCACTTCCTCCAAAACAGATTTGTTGTAAATCAAGATAGAAAACCTCCAAAAATCAGGGAGGGTTACCAGGAGTCAGAACTGACGTGATTGGCAGTGAGGGGTTTGTTTGTGGTTTGTGTCAGTGGTGTGATCCTTACCACAACAGCTCTGGTGGCCTAGTGGTGAGAAGTGGTGCTGCAATCCCAAAGGCAGGAGGTTTGAGTCCTTCCAGCTGCTCTGCGGGAGACGGATGGGCAATCTCCTCCTGTGCGATTTACTGCCTTTGAAAACCTGATTGACGGTCAGCTATGGGTCAGTTCTGACTCAACAGAACACAACAGCAACAGCAACATGTCCAAAGGATTAAAAACCCTGCCGGGCAGCTCTACTCTATCATGACTATGAGTCAGTGTTTTGGACTCAAGAGTATGGATGTGGGTTCTAATCTTGGCTCAGCCACCAGCAAACTGTGAACCTTGGGTAAATAATTTCACCACTCTGACACCCGCACCCCTTGTTTGAAGAGCAGGAGTAAACATTCTTGGATCGCTGTGAGAATGAAATAAAACAGGGATTTTATTTTGTAGAATTTTACAGCCGAAAAAGAATCTAGGTGGATTTTCATTCTTTTAACGCAACACTGATCAGAGCTTGAATTTCTCTAGTTCCTGCTTGTGGTCCAGCTTTGCCGCCAGAGTCTTTATCGATTTTATCTTGTTTAAGTTTAAACACTCCACTAGACCGAGTCCCACGAGGGCAGCGCCCAGTTCCCGCACAGCATCTGAATGAACTACTAGTCCCAAAATGAAGCGGAGCCTCAGAGACCACAATCGCTTCAGGGTTATGCTGTTATTAAGTATGTTGTTGTTCCGTGTCATGTTGTCAGAACCGACTCATAACTGACCCTTCAGTGTGTTTTGTAAATTGCACAGGAGGAGATTTCTCATCTTTCTGTCATGGAGTAGCTGATGGAGTCGAACCACCTGCAGAGTTGGCAGAGAAACTCTTTATTCATTAAGCCACGGTGACCAGAGCTCCCTAGGAACTCATGCTCGTGCAGCTGTGTAAGCCGCTTCTTCACCTGAGCCCTTCGTTAGTAGCTGCTGAGTCAACTCTGACTCACAGCAGCTCTGTGTGTGTCAGAGCAGAGATGCCCTCTTGGGTTCTCACAGCTCTGACCTTTCAGAAGCACCTCGCCAGGCATTATACAAGGCCCCTTGGGGTGGTTTGAACCTCTAGCCTTTTAGTTAGTAGTCTAGCACTTAACCATTTGTACCAGCCAGGAACTTCTGAGCCCTTTTCTTATGAGGATGTCAAATCCTCTAGAAATGGGAGGAGAGAGTAAATAATACAGACTTTGTTGTTTTTATGTGCCATTGAGTTGCCTGCAACTCCTAGTGACCCTGTGTACAATAGTTCTAAATACTGCTTTATCCTGAGCCAGTTTCACTATCTCTAACACAACTACCCCCATTATCCCAGTTACTGTTTCAATCCATCTCATTTGTGGTCTTCCTCTCCTGCACTGCCCCTCCACCCTTGTAAACCTGATGACCTTTTCAAGAACTGGTCCCTCCTGGCCACATGTCCTAAGTATGTGAGGCAGAGCTTCAAAATCCTGGCCTTCAAGGAGTAGCTTGCTTTCACATGCTCCAGGACAGACCTGTTTGTTCTCTTGTGGTCCATGGTAGTTCAAGACTCTTCTCCAGCACCACAACTTAAAGGCATTGATTCTTCTTCTTCTGTCATCCTTAGCCACTGTCCAATTCTCTAATGCACAGCAAGTAACTGCAGAGACCATGACCTGAATCAGGCACACCTTGGTCTCTAGACTGACACTGTTACTTGTTAACACTTTGGAGAGGTCCCTGACAGCATACTTTCCCAGTGCAATTTGTCTTTTGATTTCCTGGCTGCTGGTGCCAAAAGTGTTCATTGTGGAGCCGAGCAAGCTGTAATTGTTAACAACCTTAATCTCTTCTCCATCTATCATGGTGCTGCCAATTGACCCAGTGATGAGAATAATTGTCTTCTTGATATTGAGCTTCAATCCATATTGATGGCTGCAGTCCTTGACTTTCTGCGGCAAATACTTCAGGTCCTCCTCAGTTCCAGTTTTCCGTCTTTACAAAATTTATTCATTGAGCACATTTTTTAGCACCTGTGGGCATTTTCCTAGGTTCTAAGGATAGAACAGTGAGTAAAAAGAAATATCCATATCCTTGCCTTCAAGGAGCTTACATCTCAGTGGGGACAATATTCTTGACTCTTGGTTTGGTTTCTTCATCTGTCAAAGTCAAGGAGCTGGAGTCTTTGAGGAGGTGCTGCCCTAGCTCTGGCTCTCTGGGGATGTGAGGGTATGCTTGGCATAGGCCCCAGCTTCACCTTCAGCCCACAGTGGACCAAGCATCCTTGACATACACACCCTGACAGACAACAGCCACCTCTGCCCGGCTGCACCCCTCCCCTGAGGTCCACTCACCGGCCACAATGACCGAGGCAAAGCCAAAGAACATCCCCAGGGCCATTCTCTTCAGCGCCGAGGGAAGCAGCTTGTGCCGCAGCAGGAAAGGGTCCAGCAAATGGTCCTTCAGTGGGACTAGGACCAGCACTACTATGACATTGGCCAGGAGGAGCCAGGCTTCTGGGATCTGGGCCGAAAGAAAGAAGCACAGGACTAGAGTTACGAGACTTGGACTCCATGCTTCTTGGGTGGCCCAGGATCAGCCTTGGACTTACACTCCTCAGATGTGTAACTGTGGGGTAGAGGTGGGACTGACCATTAATAGCAAATAGTTTCCTCTTGCATTTTAACTTCTGTCGATTGGTCATGGCTGCCAAGAAGAGTCATGGTTCAAGTGAGAGATGGTTGTGATTGATTAGTGATGTCTGCCAGGGACAAGGAATGGGTATATAGTGGCAAATATGCCATTTATCTGTCAGCTCTAAAAATGTTTGATTTGGAATTAACAGGCTACTTGAACTCTTGTCTCCACAACTCTCAGACCAGAAGAATTAGATGGTGCCCAGCTACCACTGTTGACTCCTCTGAAAGGGACTACAATAAGAGATCCTAAGAAATTGAGAGGGGAGAAAAATGTGACCCAAAATGCAAAGTAATTAAAAAAATACCAGGCTTACTGGTATGGTACTGAGACCATGGCCTATAGTCACCCTTTAGCTTTCTAAGCCTCCCCACTAGCTCAACTTTCAGCCCAACACTGGGCAGGCCCATGAAATGAACAAGAACACCAGAGAGATGCATATTCTCTACAAGAACCCATCTGATGAGATCAAAGAGAAGCCCTTGCCCAGGGATAATGCTCAGACGGGAGGAAAGGTTAGCAAAGAAGGATGAATGGAAACAGGAGATACAGGGTAGAAGTGGGACGAGTACTCATACATGGTAGAGATTACAATCAGTGTCACAAATCAAGATCTGTATGAATTAATGAGTGGAAAACCACTTTTCTCTGTAAACTTTCAACAAAATAACAATGAAAGTAAGGAAAAAAAACCCACCATAAAAACAAACCCACAGATGAATGAATAAACCAATCTTTGTATCAGCAGCCAGGAAATCAAAAGACGAATTGCATTGGGAAAATCTGCTATCAGGGACCTTTCCAGAGTACTGAAGAGCAACAATGTCAGTCTAGAGAGTAAGATATGCTTGATCCAGTCCATGGTCTTCACAATTATTTGCTATGCATCAGAGAGAGGAACAATGACTAAGGATGATAGAAGAAGAATTTATGCCTTTGAGTTGTGGTGCTGGAGAAGGTTATTGAATATACCATGGACTGCTAGGAGAACACAGGAGAGGGTGAAACCAGGCTGTTCCTTGGAGGCAAGAATTATGAAGCTTCTCCTGATATACTTTGGGCATGTTGCAAAAAAGGGCCAGTCTTTGGAGAGGGACATCTTACTTGGAAGGGTGGGTGGACAGCATGAGAGCAGAAGACCCTAAATGAGATGGATTGACTTGGTGACTAGGGTAATGGGGGGGTAGGAGTGTCAGAGACAATGAGGTTGGCTCAGGATAGAACAAAGTTCAGAGATGTTGTACATAGGATCACTATGTGTCCCGAGTGATTCAACAGTATGTAACAACAACAACAATTTTTTTAAAAGAATTTTTGATTCAATGAATTAAGTAAAGAAAAAGATTCAAATCCCTGCCTACAAAAAGCTTAAGGCAAATGATTTTGACTCTTGATTTAAGTTTCTTCTTCTATCAAAAAAGGTCCTGGTTTAAAAAGGATGACAGAAGAAGAATTGACACTTCTGTGTTGTGGCGTTGGAGAAAAGTACTGAACACCCCACGGACTACCCAAAGAGTAAACAGATATGTCTTGGAAAAGGTGTAGCTGGAGTGTTTCTTGCAGGCAGCAATGGCAAAGCTTCATCTCTCATACTTTAGATACGTTGCTAGGAGAGGCTGTTCCTTGGAAAAGGATATCACGCTTGGAAGGGTGGAGGGTCAGTGAAAGAGATGAAGACCTCTGTCAAAATGGATTGACTCAGTGACTACAGCAGTGGGCATGGGTCAGAGGTTGTGAGGATGGCACAGGACAGGACAGGATGAGCAGAAACAGGAAATACAGGGTAGAAGTGGGAAGAGTACTTATACATGGTGGGGAATGCAATCAGTGTCACAAATCGAGATCTGTATGAATTGTTGAGTGGAAAATCACTTTTCTTTGTAAACTTTCAACAAAATAACAATCAAAGTAAGAAAAAAAAACGACCGTAAAAACAAACCCACAGATGACTGAAGAAACCAATCTTGGTACCAGCAGCCACAAAATCAAAAGATGAATTGCATTGGGAAAATCTGCTATCAGGGACCTCTTCAGAGTACTGAAGAGCAATGATGTCAGTCTAGAGAGTAAGGTGTGCCTGATCCAGGCTATGGTCTTTGCAATTACTTGCTATGCATCTGAGAGCTGGACAAAAGGATGATAGAAGAATTGATGCCTTTGAGTTGAGGTGTGAATAGAGCTGCTGTTCACAGGATCACTATGAGTCATATTCAGCTCGAGGGCAGCTAATAACAACAATAGGGAAAGATGCAAGGCAGCTCTGGTGGCATCGTCCACAGGGAGCTGTGCTGCTAACACAAAGGTTGGACCTCTCTGGCAGTTCGAGTCTACCAGTCGCTCCATGGTAAAAAGATGGGCAATCTCCTCCTGTGCAATTTACAGCCTCAGAAACCCAATGGAAGATCAGCCCAGAGTCAGTTATATCTCGAGGGTAATGAGGTTGGGTTGGTGAAAGGTGCAGATCTGAGGGTCTAGGAAATGGGGACGAGTCAAGGAGGGGCTTGAGTGCAGCTTACCTGAAGGCCTGGAGCAAACCAGACTCTGGGGCCAATTTCAAGTGGGGGTGGTGCTGGCTAGTGTTTGAGCAGGTGGACCTCTTGGTGGGACACGTGACCTGTGACACAAGTTCACCCTTCCTGCAGGGACCCCTCCCTTATTCTGAGGACGCCCTACAGCTGGAAGGGCGGGTGCTGAGGCAGTCTCCCTTTCTCCTTCTCTCAGAGGAAGCCCCTGACCTGGTCTGAACACACGTGGTGTCTTACCGTGTAGCTGTTGTGCTGGGCGCCAAGAGCCATGGAGCTGTTGGTAGGGTTGACGGGAAAGATGTTGGGGATGTGGAGGTGGAGCCCCTGCAGGACGTATGTGGACTGCATCTGCCGAGAGAGAGGACATGAGAACCAGAGCCAGGGCCTGCTTCAGCTCCATTCGCAGAGGATCTCTGGCTCCCAGGCCGGCAGACACCCCACAGCGGTTTCCAGGGCAGGGGGCAACTGGCTTCTACGTGACCTCGGGGAAGAAGAGGCTTTCCTTGGCCGGCAACAGCCAGGCTTTGCTCAGTTCCCGGGCCTGTGAGCAATGCCCTCAGGGCCTGGCCGAGGACTGCGGTGGGTACAGCTGATCTGACTCACCTCATGGCTCCAGGGCCTTGGCACAGAGGGAGGCCTGGACATGTGTGCACTGAGATGGGGAAGATAATGACATGGCTGTCCCCACAGGGTGCCCATCTGACACGAAGCCAAGCTGAGGTGCCACAGGCCGACACGGCCTCTGCTCAGTATGTACTCATCAAATGACACAGGCTCTAGACACAGCTGTGGGTCCCCTTCAAGGCGGTGAGGAGGGGCCCAGAGGAGTCCCCTGGGAGGGGGCCAGGCCAGGGGAAAGACACATGGGCCACTCAGGGCAGCTGCCATTTCCAGTGGACACGGCCCTGTCCCACCATGGACACTAGCTCTGTATTCCCCCTTAGCTGACTGACCTGTATTCTTCTGCAACTCAGTGAAGGTTCCTAGGACGGGATACAGAGGCCAATGACCTTACGATCTGGGGCTGGGATTGGCCAGAACCTGCCGCCACCACACCCCTCTGACCTTCCCCAGGGGAAGCTGTGGTTCCCCACTTTGGCTTGGCATTGTTGTTGTCATCAGAGCAATCAATGTTCCTGGCTTCCCAGGCCTTCCTTGTTGTTATGTACATTGTTGTATGTTACAACTCATAGACAGCCTGAGAACAATGGCTCTAAACCCTGCCCTATCCCTGAGCCAACCTCATCATCTCCGACACACCTGACCCCGTTGCCACGGTAACCGTGTCAATCTATCTCATCAAGGGTTTTCATTTCTTGCGCTGACCTTCTACCCTTCCAAGCATCATGGCCTTCTCCAAGGACTGACCCCACCTGAGAGCATGCCCAAATGTAAGACGTGCAATTTCACCATCCTTGCCTCGAAGGAGCAAGTCATTCGGGTGTCAACTGGGCCTCGGGCTTCTGTGTTTCGTTTTCACACTCCACAAGCAGTTCTGCAGCACAGCCAGATTGAGAAGCTCCTACTAGAAGGCATCGCTTTTGCTCTGAACTGGGCACTGAGCTTGCGCCTCACTTGCTGTGGGATGTCAGGCAGCAACACACATTCTCTGGGCCTCAGCTGGCCAGCTGGAGAATCTGAGCATGTCAGTGCTCCAAGAACCTCCCTCTGGTCTAAACCACCAGTTTACACAGGAGGAAGTGCAGAGACAGGCGATTACTTAAGCGGCTGAGCCTCAGTCTCCGGGGTTCCTCCTGCTGTACTGCCCTGCCAAAGCCACACACACACACACACACACACACACACTGGACATGGCTCTGTGCCAGCCCCCGAGCCAGCTGGCATCTAGCCAGGGTTCACTTGGCTTCTTCCTTTTCCAGGTGCCCTGGCTTCTACTGTGAGAGTTGAGCCCTATGAGAAAACTGGGGAGCCAGCATCCTCAGAGCAAAAGAGTGGGGAGTCCTCCTCACCTGAAAGTAGACCATCCAGTAGGGCACCATGGTGAGCATGACAGGTAAGACCTTCACCAGCACCTGGTAGTTGGCGATGTCCTCTTGTGGAGAAGGGCCAAGCTGGTGAGACCTCTGGTCGAGGAGTGGTGGGGCGCCTTGGGGATCTCTGTGGGGTCATGGGGCAGCAGATAAAACAGGTTTATTTAGCACAAGAGTCAATTACTTTGGAAGGAGAGAGGCCAGAGGAAGCCATTGGGTCCACGTGAGACCATCCAGAACCTTCCTGCCTTGGATGCCAGCTAATATGGGAAGGACAAGGCAGCTTGATTTCTTAGACCTTCTTTATTATTATTATTATTTTGTGTGTGTGTGTGTGTGTGTGTGTGTGTGTGTGTGTACCGTCAAATCAGATCTGAGTGGTACAGGAGGAGATTGGACCTCCTCTCCAGCAGAGCATCTGGTGGATTAGAACCACACACCTCTGAGACTGCAGTGCAGATTCTTGCCACCAGGCCACCAGAGCGCCCCTAGACCTTCTTATAGTAAATATGAGTGTGTGCACCATCGAGTTGGAACTGACTCATAGCTGACCCTCCGGTGGGTTTTCAGAGGCTGTAAAGCACATCAGAGAAGATTGCTCATTTTTCTCTCTTGGAGCAGCTGGTGGATTTAAGCCATGTGCCTTTGGGTCAGCAGCACAATTCCTTGCCACTAGGTACTCTAGTGGCTTCGTCTGAAGGAACTGTACTGCCAACTCAAAGGCACATGGTTCGAGTCCGCCAGCTGCTCCATGGGAGGAAGATGGGCAGTCTCCTCCTGTGGGATTTCTAGCCTCTGAAAATCTGCTAGAGGGTTGACTAGGAGTCAGTTCCAGTTGGCCAGTCCATGACCACAGCAGGTATTAGAGTGCCCACTAAGCATGAGGGTGGCAGAGAACTCTTCATACTTTGCTCCCAACAGCCTTCGCTGGCATCATCATCGCTATGACCACCACCTCTGCTACCAGCGCGGTCTCCACGCTGGGTACCAACACCATCACTCCCTCCTCATCACTTCCTCTCCCCGCCAAGTCCACAAACACACACTGGGCATGTCTGGGTCAGGCCGGCTGGCACCCAGCTGTAGTTCACGTGGTTTTCCTCCTTTGCCTGTGCCTTGGGCCTCCCTGGTGAGAGTGGAGCCCAAGGAGAAGGCTGGTTATCACCAGCAAGACCAGGTCCCCTTACACCTCCCAGTTAGTGAGCCTGTCCCCAAAAGCACCGTCATCACCCCCTTGACCTCCATCATCAGTCACCCTCAGCCATGACGGGCTACTCTGGCCCTTTGGGGAGTAGTTGAGAATAAAGGGGCTGAGCCAGAGTGTTCCCAGCCTGGACCAGGCCTGTCCAGCACTCTGGAGCTTCTCCAGGCCTGAGGCCCCCTTTATTCAGGAGCCCCTCCTTACCTGGCAGGGTGTCGGCGGCAGAGTCGGGGGCAGCAATTCTGGAGTGCGAGCTTGATCATGGAGGACACCTGGCTGCCCGTGGGGGGTTTGGTGATGAAGACAGGGGTGGCAAAGAGGAAGATGAAGAATGCCAGACCCATGCAGCCCACGGGGATGCTGAAGCCCAGCAGGAAGCTGATGTTCTGCTGGATGAAGGCCACCACCAGCAGCGACAGCACAGCGCCCAGGTTTATGCTCCAATAAAACCAGTTGAAGAAGCGCTGGGTGGCATTGCGGCCGAGGTTCATCACCTGTCAGGCCGAGGTAAAGGTGGGGATTGAGGAGGTCTGGGAGAACCCTCCGAACCTGCACCCCCAGACCCTCTCTCATTGAGATGTTTCTTGGGTCAACGGGAGGGCATTCTGGCACTTTGCTAGTCTCTGAACACTAACTAGACACTCAACAAACATTTGATGAATGAATGAGCAAACCCTCCTCTCGGGAGTCACTTGGTAATGATCGGGACATTCCGGCACAGCTGTTTCCCAGGCTCATGACTCTCATTGCTTTTTTATTGTCACCAAGCCGTGCACACAACAGATGTCTCGGATGGGTCCGTGTTCATTCCTGGTGGATTCATTCTTTTGTTTCTGACTGTGAAACCTGCAATAGGCATTGCTTCTAGGCTCAGGAAGAAAGCCAGAAACGTTCTCAGTTCTGCTTTCTGTGATGGAATGCGATGTCTGCTTAGTACTGAAAGGAGAGCCAGGCAGCAGACAGGGAATTTCCCCCGCAGCTTGGAGAAGCAACTTGAACATATTCTGGGGTGGCTGACCCCTCACTCTGATATATGCCCAATCAAATAAGGATGGCATAATTAGGAAAAGCAGAGGTGGTCCTGGACATGACCCCAAGACTGGTTCTGGCTGTGTGGAGTAAAAAACAATTAGGTCCCCCAGCAAGGACAGATGGGCTAAAAATCTATACACAGGACTGGAATAGATCAGTAGCATCCCAGCACCCAGGCCCCAGGCTTCCTTCCAGTCTGCTAGTTTGGGTAATTAGCACCGGCTGCCCCCACCTTTCCCAGACACCATTCTTTGAATAAAAGGAGCCCTGATGGCACAATTTCTAGAGAAAGTCGATGGACTTTCTAAAAAGGTCTGTGGATTGAACACACACTAGCCAGTGTTCGGGAGAAAGAACAGGCAGTGTGCTTCCGTAAAGGCTGACAGCCTTGCATGGGGCTACTTTGTCCCACAGCATGGCTGTAAATCCAGTCCATCTGTTGGCAATGGGCTGCTTTGTAGTTGTTGTTGTTGTTATTATATAGAGCTGACTATGACTCATAGAGACCCTACAACAGTAGCTTTGAACCCTGTCCTATCCTGGGCTGACCTCACCATCTCTGACACACGCAACCTCATTTCCACACTCACTGTGCCAATTCACCTCATCCAGGGTCTTCCTCTCCTGAGCTGACGCTCTACCCTTCGAAGCATGATGCCCTTCTCCAAGGACTGGTCTCTCCTGGTGACACGCACAAAGTATGTGAGGTGGAGCTTCAAAATCCTCGCCTCAGAGGAACCAACTGGTTTCACCCTGTCTAGGACAGACCTGTTTGTGCTCTTGGCAGTCCATGGTATGTTCAGAACTCTTCCCTAGCACCAAACTCAAAAGCATCTATTCATCTGCCATCCATAGTCAATGTCCACCTCTCAGATGCATAGAAAGCAATTGAGAAGACCATGGCCTAGGCCAGGTGCATCTTAGTCTCTAGACTGACACTGTTGCTCTTTAGCACTCTGGAGAGGTCCCTGACAGCAGACCTTCCCCGTGGGACTCATTTTTTAATTTCCTGCCTGCTGGTGCTAAGGGTATTTATAGTGGATCCAAGCAAGATGAATCCTTAACAACCCCAATTTTTTCCTCCATCTGTCATGATACTGCCTATTGGCCGGTGATGAGGGCCTTTGTTTCCTTGATGTTGAGGATCTTTGAAGGTGCACTGTTTAAACACTTGGCTGCTAACTGAAAATTGGTGTTTGGAGAACCCATTAGCTGTTCTAAGAGAGAAAGGAATGGTGCTTCCATGCTGTGAAGATTTACAGCCTTGAAAACCTGGGCAGGGGTGGGGGGGGTGGGGGTGGGGAAGAAGGACAGTTCCACTCTGTTCCAGAAGGTCCTTCTGAGTCAGACACCTGCTTCTGAAAAAGCAGAGAGGATCGTAATGACAATGACGCAACACGGAGAGTGCAATGGACGCCACTGGATCGTAAAAGTGGAAGTTCTTGCGTTGGTGAATGTTCTAGGGCATAGATTTTTACCACAACAGAAAACAATAAAAAAATCAACGAGCACTTGGAGTCATTTCTCTAGCTAAATGTCAGCAATGTGACACCAGCCAGCCTGTCATAAAGCCCAGCATCTCAGAATCCACACCTGTCCTTCCACCCACAGGCACGTCCTTCTCACAGCCACGAAGATTTTACCAAGCCTGGTTTTCTGTGGTTGCACTGTGGAAAAGATAGGCATTTGTGACTTTAAAAAGAAACATTATTTTACACTGATTTGCTTCAGATACATTATGTTTCACACTATTCTTCATTCACACTGAGTTTCATACAATCATTCCCATGCATTATGGAATGTTTATGTGGAGAAGAAAGAGACCTCAAATAAGCAAAGCACTTCTGGAAAACAAGATAGGTGGGTTTTAAAAAAATTTGTTTTTCTTTTCCCTAACCAGACATAAAACTAAGATCCACAAAGTGCCCATCCACAAACGAATGGATAGAGAAGCTGTGGTATATTTACACAATGGAATAGTACACTGTATTGAAAAACAAGGAACTCATGCAATATTATTCAAAATGGGTGGCCCTGGAGGACATTATGCTGAGTGAAATCTCTCAGTCACAAAAGGACAAATATTGTATAGGGCTACTGTTGTAAAACGGGACTGACATCGGGGTTGAGGAAAGACAGAGAAGGAGGGGATGAATGATGTACGCTGCATTGAAACAGATGAGGGAGAGAACTGTCTAAAAGGAATATGTGATTAGGTTTTATTGTTCTGACAGGAGTCCAGAATGAAGGCTGCATAGTGGAGTGGACCTGGGGGGAGGGATTGTATAACAATGAAAGAATTTTTTTGCTTTTCAAAGAGAAGAGTGTACTGGGGGGGAGGAGGGGTGGGCAGGGAGAAAAGTGCAACAATGAATGAATGGAAATCCAAAGTCTCTGTAAATTTTCATGAAAATTAATAATAATAATAATAAAAAATCAAATATAAAAAATAAAAAAGATGCTTTTAAGTAGCATTCCCATGAAGACTCCAAGGTTTAATCCTGATGGTGGGGGGGGGTCAGGCGCCCACTGAGAAACCTCACTCGAGAGTCTCAAGCAGAAAACGGAATAAACCTCATTATGAGCAGCCACTTCCATTTATTAATTGGAAGTAAATGAATATGACAATTGTAATTCTACGGGGACAGCCAGACAGGGCTTTCGGATATAAATGAGCTCCCCTAGAACGAGCTGACACTTTGCCAGGAATGATCGATGGCCCTTTCTGAAATCAGTAAGTGTGCTAAACGTGCAGTTCCTGCGTAGATACGTCTGCCAGACGGTGCCGGGCCTCCCACCCTGACTCCTCCATCTGACTGCCCCGTGAATTCTGCAGCAGCAGCCCCCTCTTCTGATGGGCTCCCTCTTACCCTTCCATCCACTCTACATTGCAGCCATTTTCCAGAACTCAAATCCAGCCACGTCCATCCCCATACTGTCCTGGGGGTCAAGTTCAGGTCCCGTCACACAGCCTTCAAGCCTCACACTGACCAGATTCCATGCTCAAGCCTGGGGCTTTGTCACTGCCGTTGCTACTGCTGACCAGCTCTGCCACCAGCAAGGGACAGAGGCAGGGGACACTGAAGCTGAAGGTCTTTGGAGTCCACAGGCCAAGGGGACTTTGGGATGGAAAGAGATGTTAGTGGAAAAGCAGAATCAAAAGAAGACGGGAGAGTCCTTCCAGAAGGTTCTGGAGTCTCTTGATTTGAAGGAAGGTCAGGAGTGGGCTGGAGAGGGGCAAGGTAATGAGCTCCCCATCATCAAAGGAATCCTAACGGGCTGGATGAGTGACTTCTGGGAAAGACGCTGGAAACTCTTAGCGTAGGATCATGGATGTCAGGAAGGGAAAACCATGATGAAAAACTATTACTGTCTAGTGAGCTGATCATAGTGTTAGAATTTCACACACACACACACACACACACACACCGCTGCCCAGTTTTCCACTTTGACAGCTAGTATTTCCTTAAGGGAGCTCTGGTGGCCTAGTTTACAGGGAGCTGTGTTGCCCAAAGTCTGCTCCTTTCAGGCAGTTCAAGCCCCCACCCCCGGTGGCTCCCTGGGAGAAAGATGAGCAATCACTTTCTGTGTTTTTTCAGCCTTAGAAACCCGCTGGAGGGTTAGCTATGGGTCAGTACTGGCTAGAAGGCAACGCGAGACAGTCTCTTCTTAAGAGGATAGACAACCAGAAAGTTCCTAGACGTGCAAATGGCCAGGTTTTGGACACATCATCAGGAAGGGGCCCAATCGCTAGAAAGGGGCATCACGACTGGTGGAGGGTCAGTGAACACGAGGGACTGGCCCATGAGTTGGATGGACTCAACATTCACGACAGTGGACTCGCAGACACGGGAGACAAAGTGTGCAGGGGCCAGCATGGCTTCGCCCTGTCATCCGTCAGGGCACACTGAGTCATAGTCACCTGGGAGGCTCCTACCAGCATGTGTCTTCTTACACAGTTGCAATTACGCTGTGGGTGCTGTTCTGCTCCCTGCATTTGCTTGTTAACACTAGAAGCTGGTTGTTTTATAATATTGCAGAGTCCTCGTAGCATCATTTAAAATGATTGCCTAATGGCCCACTGGGAAGTGCTTTGAAACACAGCCCTGTTATTAGACACTGCTCATTCATTCAACACACACCTACAGAGCTCTGTTCAGGGGCTGCCAAGGAAGGCGCAGAGCTTACGATGCGCGCCCAAGTGCCCCTCACTGGTGGGCGGCTGAGCTGGGATCGGAACCACAGTTTGCCTGAGCACTGTTGGCCGGAGGGCGCTGCTCCTGCCATGGGCCCCCAGATCCATATAACACCTAAAGATGGGTGGGGACTCAAGGTGGGGACTGGGACCCAGCTGCTATTAACGCCCCTCCTTGACTCGCTCCCTATGTGATGCTGGATATTTTGATCAGTCTCCTTATCCGTAAAATGGACATAACATGGGCACCCAAACCACCCTCATCATCAGTGAGTGGATTCCAGCTCGTAGTGAGGGTTGGGAGAACTGTCTCCCAGGGGCTTCCCTCAAAGAGCAACTGGGGGTTCAAACCCCACGCTTTTGATTAGAAGTCAAGCGCCTAACCACTGCACCACTAGAGCTCTTCCATCTATGAGTAATTAGGAGAACAACCCTCACCTCGCAAATGGAAGGAACTATTTGCTGTCATTTGTTTCAATGGAGTCAGTCTGGATTCAGGGCGACTCCACAGGTAATGATGTCCTGAGCCTCATAGCATTTTCTAGGGCTGACTTTTCACCAGGAGAAGCTCTGGCCTTTCTACCGAGGCCTGGACAGACTTGAACCTTCAGGCTTTCTGTTAGCAGCCAAGCCCCTAAACAGCATGCACTGTCCAGGGACTTGTTGTTGTGTGCCATGGAGTCAGAATGGATCCATAGCTGACCTTCCAGCATGTTTTCAGAGACAGTTAATTGCACCGGAGTAAACTGCCAATCCTCCCATGGAGCAGCTAGTGGATTCGAACTGTGGACCTTTAGGATTGTAACACAGCTTCTTACCACCAGGTCACCAGAGCTCCTGATTCACGGGGGTAGTTAAGAAGTTTTAACAGTTGCACAGCTCAGGAAATAATTAGGGGGCTTAACTGATTTTAGACATCACACACATTTAGCATAGGGCCTCACACATAGCTCAAAGAAGCCAACTGGGTATGGCTAGCACTGTTTTGCTAGTTTAAGCATCAACATCATAGGTGCGAAAACAGCAGTTAAAGTCTGGGCTGCTAACCGGAAGGTCGGCATTCTCCAGTGGCTTGGAGAGAGAGCTGGGATAGTCCACCACCCTGGAAACCCCTATGGGTTATCTTATTCCATCCCATGTGGTCGCTATGAGGGAGCTCTGGTGGCTTGTTGGGTGCCACTGAGTTGAGTTCGACTCACAGTGACCCTATAAACAACTGACCTGAATGAACCCGGTCCCATCCTGTGCCGTCCTCATCATCTCTAACACACCTGAGCCCATAGCTGCAGTTGCTGTGTTACTCCATCTCATTGAGGGTAAATGGATGTTTGCAGCTGTTTTTCTTTGAGTGCCTTCCAATTTGAGCTCTACCTCTATCACTTTATCTATTCACATTCCTCTATTGCTTACAGGGTTTTTCTAAGGCCTGTATTTCTCACAAGAGGATTGGCAATCCCATTCCCTACACTGTCTTAATCTGGGAACTCTGCTGAAATCTATTCCCCATGGGTGATCATGCTGGGATTTGACACACCAGTGGTGCAGCTTCTATCCTCCCAGCACCCCACAAATTACCCCAGTACAGCAAACTGACAGACAAGTCACTGTCTTAATAAGAGCAGAAGATAAACAAGCAAGCACATACACATCAAAGCTATAAAATAAGTACGTGGTTCAGGCACACGGTTCAAATCTACCAGCTGCTCCAAGGGTAAAATAATGCACAATCTCCTCCCGAGAGATTTACTGCCTCCGCAAACCCGTGGAGGGTCAGCTGTGAGCAGGTTCTGACTCGATAATATGTAACAACGTCAACACAGGGTCGCTATCGGCCAGATTGACCAAAGGCAACAGGAAACGAGTATCCTAGATGAACGGAAATTGAAGGCAGGGAGAGGAAGTGGTTTGCCCAGGTCACTCCAGGCCGTGGCCCCAAGTCATTGCTCTGTCTCCGCACCCCCCTTGCGGCGGGGGCCCTTGCCACCCACCTGGTCAGCCCCGAAGGAGGTGAGGTTGGTCCTGACGGAGCTGGCGGCCAGGGCGAGCAGCAGCAGCGTGGCGTAGACGGTGGGCGCGCAGTAAGGGCTGGGTGAGGTGCGCGTGCAGGACCCCGGGGCGCAGGCGGGCTCGAGGGGCGGCGCGGGCCTCTCCCCGCAGAAGGAGCGGCGGCCGTCGGGGAAGGCGGTGGAGGCCAGCAGGGCCACGGCGACCAGGTAGAACGGCAGGCTGAGCGCCACGGCCAGGTAGCGGCCCAGGTACGCGTCGGCCAGCCAGCCGCCCACCGGGGCCAGCACGTAGGAGGCGCCCAGGAAGACGAGCGCGGCGCGCGACGCCTGCCCGCCGGCCCAGTCCAGGTTGGCGCTGTTGAGGTACAGCACCAGGTTGGCCGACACCCCGAAGAAGGCGGCGCGCTCCAGCATCTCTACCAGCAGCACCGCGGCGCCCGCCACTCGCCGTCCCCTCCGGGGGCCCCGCGCGCCCTCAGCCAGCAGGGGCCTGCGCTCCGTCGCCACCAGGGGCTCCGCCGGGGCCCGTGGGCCCGGCATGATGACCCGCTGGGGACCCTCTGTTGCCCCACCTGAGGGCCCGTGGGGGGGCTCGGTTACCCCACCTGATGGCTCGCGTGGGGGGGTGCTCTCGGTACCCCACCTGATGGCCCGCAGGGATCCCTCCGTTACCCCTCCTGCTGGCCCCAGCGGGGAGCGCTCCGCTCGCCCACCCCGCGCACTGTACCTGCCCCGAGGTCTCCTCCTCTCCTCCCAGCCTCAATGGGGGAGCCCGCCTTTCTGGTCCCCTCTTGTCTGTGTCACCCAGCCCTTTTCTTCCCAGCCCCTGGAGCCCCTCCGCTCACTGCTTGGGTACTGCCTACCCTCTCCCCAGTCTTCTACACTTCCTCCCACCGACCCCCCAACTCTTCCTCCTCTACTTCTCCCTCCACCTGCCCTCTCTCTAACTGTCCCTCACCTGAAGAACTTTCCCCCTACTCTGATTCGTCCTCCCCGTGCCCCCTCTTTCCCACTGCTCCTCCCCTTCTCCACCGTTTGCCCCGCCTTTCTCCTGGGCTCCCTTTCTTAACTATTGGCCGGTCCTCTGGTACTTTGCCAGCACTTACCTGGGGCCACCCTCCCATAGGGGCCTCCTCTGCCCCCCACTCCCCACTGCTCTCTCTTCGGCCTCCTCCCAGCCCCCCAACCCACCCCTGTCCCACCAGCCCAGGCCCCTCTGGCTCTCCTTTCTTGACCAGCTGGGTCCCTCTCCGGAACCCGGGCTGCCCCACGCTTCCCCTTTCGCTCCCTCCCCTGGTCTGTTGGCCCATGTCACATGATGTTACGGGTTGTTTTGGAGAAATGAAAGGCTGAGTCACAGGCCCCTTCTGGTCCGGCTTTCTAAAAACCCTTCCTCCTCGACTACATCCTCTCCCACTCTGGCTGGCCTTTCTGGAATCGGGAAGGCTGGCTTTCCATCTTTCACTTTCATTTCTCTCCCGATTTCACTTTTGCTGCACCCTCCTCCCCTGATACTGGGAGAGGGAGAGGCAAATGCATCATTGGGTGCTGCCCGCCCACTTCACAGGTGCAGAGACTGAGGGCTGGCTGGGTCAACTAACTGATTTGGGTAAAACCAGTTTCCTGGCTGCTGAGTGTCAGGGGAAGCACTCTACATGCAATCAGATTGTGCAAATGCAAATGTTTTAGAGGGAAGGAAGTGGGGGCTGTGTTACCATAGAGGGAGGGCCTGTCAGGGAGTGGAGATTGAGAGGAACCCTGGGCTCAGAAGAAATCACAGCCCTGAACTCCTCAGAACGCTGCAGGCACTGAGAATAAGAGGCAGTTTCCTCAGACCTAGACGTCCACGAGGGTGGATCTGCCCCTGCCATCTGCCAACCTCATCTGAGGCCTCAGGCTCTGAAACCCAGCTGCTGGAACCTTCCTTCTGGTCTCACATGCTGAGCCCCCTCCTGCCACAAGACCCTGGCTCTGCTGTTCTCACTTCCTCCAGCTCTCTGCCTGGCTGGCTGCTTCTCTCCAGTGGGGACCCTCTTCACAGAGCCTTATCCTGACCATCCTGTTTGAGACACTGCCTGCTGGAGTCTCACAGCATCCTCTCTCTGCAGTGTTGTCCTGCTTCAGTATCTTCACAGCATGTGATACCTGTTCAATTGTTGCGTTATTGTCTCCCTCAGTAGAATAGAGGCTCTGTCAGGTCAAGGATCTTGTCCTGACAGTTCGCTCTTTTATCCTGTGATTACCTAGAGCTTGGGAAACGGTGCATGCCACTGTTGAGTTGATTCTAACTCACAGCCCTTCCGTGCCTGTCAGAGTGGAACTGTGGCTCCATAGGGTTTTCACTGGCTGACTTTTTTCTTTATATTTTTAAATTGTGATTTGAGCAAAAGTTTACAGAAAGGTTGGGTTTCCATTCATTCGTTCATTCATTGGTGCATTTTCCTCTCTCCCCCTTTCTTCTCTGTTCCCTGGTCCACTTTACAACATACCTCTTGTTCCAGAATGTTGTCATACTGGGGCTGACTTTTTTTCAAAAATTTTTTTTAAAATTGGTATCATTATTTTCCCCTCACATTTTCCTTCTTTGACATTGTTTCATACAATCAATCACTCCCATATATTGTGCTTTATAAAATTAGTCACCATTGAACTATGCTCACCATTACCCTGTCTTTTCAGGTCACCGCTGGATCTTTCCTGTTTCCTTTACTCCCTCCCTCCACCCATCAAATTGTGCAACCCTGTGATTTCCTCCCGCCCATTGTCACCTCTCTGCTTCAACCTCTACCCCACTTCTGCTCTTATACCTGTTTTACTTGTTGACCTTCTGTTTTTACAATAATGATCTTATGCAGAATTTGTCCTTAAGAGACTGAGTTAGTTCACTCAGCATAATGCTCTCCATTCTCTCCCAAATTATATAATATTTTTCTAAGTTGTTGCTCCTGAGTGCTGTATAATATTCCATCATGTGAATGGACCACAGTTTCTCAGTCTATTCCATTATGGTTAGATGTTTTGGCTGTGTCTGTGTTCTTGCAATGGAGAATAATGCTGCTCTAAACACTGGTGTACAAATTTCCATTTGTTTCTCACTTGTAATTTCCTTGGGTGTATTCCTAGCAGTGAAATAGCTGGATCCTATGGAATGTGATGTTCTGTGTGATCATCATATGATGTTCCAGATGTACACCGCCTTCCCAGACGGTTCGACTACTGTACAGTCCCACCAACAGTGCATGGGAGTTCCCACCTCTCCACATCCTCTCCAGCATTTATTGCTTGCTGTACTGTTAAGCTTTGCTACCGGGGTGAAATGGCATCTCATTGTGGTGTTGACTTGCTTCTCTCTAGTTGCCAGTGATTCTGAGCATTTTTTCATATATCTGGCGGCCATTGAACGTCTTCCTCTGTGAAAAGTCTTTCCATGTCTTTTTTGTGGCTGAGTTTTCAGATTGCCAGACCTTTCTTCCAAGGTTCCTTGTAGACTCAAGCCACCAGCCTGTCAGGCTGACAGTTGAGGGGGACTTATGTGATGACACAGGCTGTAAGAGCGTGGAGACCGAGAGGGCTGTTGCTCCCTGTGAATCGTGATGTAGATGAAGGGAGGTGAGTATGCATGGACTGTCAAAAGAACAAACAAGTCTATCTTGGGAGAAGCAAAACCAGCATGATCCTTAGCGGGAAGGACGGCGAGACTTCATTCCCGTGCTATGGACTTGCAGTCTGGAAGCATCAGTCGATCAGTTGCTGGAGAAAGACATCATCCTTGGAAAGGTCAGAAAAGAAGAGGGTGGATTGCCATGGTGGCTGCAATAAGAGGCTCAAACACAGCAAAGATTGTCCCAAAAGCCCAGATCTGAGCGGTGGCTTGTTGTGTTGACCACGGGGTCACTCTCTGTTGATGGGGTCATCCATCAACAGTGATGAAGTCAGGGACAGTGCACTTTGGATGAGAGGGGCAGAGGAGCCAGAGTCCCAGTGAGCATGGGCTGAAGCCGAGATCAGATATTTCCACTATGCTGCCTCTATCTCTGGATTGGAGGGGAACACAGTCATTGGTATTGACTAAGTAAGGCAGATCTGGTGGCCTCGTGGTAAGAAGCTGGGCTGCAATCTCAAAGGCACACAGTGTGAATCCAGTAGCTGCCATGTGGGAGAAGGATGGGCAATCTCCTCCTCTGTAATTACTGCCTCTGAAAATCTGCTGGAGAGTCAGCTATGAGTTGACTCTGACTTGGGGCACACAGCAACAACAACAAAGTAAGCACAGATTGCCTCAGATCTAGCTTCTTCCTCTCTTGGCAGGGTCAGTAGGTTGTGGGCAGATGTGACAAATACTGTCAACAATCATGGTTTCACCATTGAAAATGATAATCTGACATTCAAATACCTACAGGAGAATATAGGTTCATAGGGTTTTCAGAGGCCTGTTATTTCAGAAGTGGATGAGCAACCCTTCTTCCTAATTTCTCTTAATCTTGGGGCTTGACCAAAACCTGCCCACCATGAGTGACTTCTCTGGCATTTGAAACATAGTGGTACAGCTTTCAGCATCATAGCAACCCATGTACAGCTTTCAGCATCATAGCAACCCACAAGTACAGCTTTCAGCATCATAGCAACCCACAAGTACAGCAAACTGACAGACAAGTGCTGCACTAATTAGAACATTGATAAGCAGGAGAAAAATGTTGGAGACGAGTGCTGAGTATCCCATGGACTGCCAGAAGAACAGATGTGTCATGGAGAAGGTGCAGCCAGAGTGCTCCTTGGAGGCAAAGATGATGAAGCTTCTACCCACGTGTTTTGGGCATGTTGCTGGGAGAGGTTAGATTATTCCTTGGAAAGGGACACTGTGCTTGGGAAGGTGGAAGGGTGGAGAAAGGGAGGAAGACCCTCGACTAGGTGGGTTTACACGGTGACTGTGGATGGCACAGGACAGGATGGAGTTCAGTTTTTCATAGGGTTGCTGTGAGTGGTCCTCAACATGACTGCCCTTAACAACAACATAACAGCAGCAACATCGGAGAATACATCAGAGCCCGTTGACGTGGATGAGGGTAACCCATTCATAGATCACTCAAAGCTGATTTAGGGAAACCCAGTAGAGCCAGAACACAAAAGATGTTGCTTTGGTGGCTCAATAGCAATACAGTGCACGTGCTTGAAAGTCAAGTCGTCTTCTCAGGACCCACCAACCCATACGGCAGGGCCAGGATGATGTGGTTTAGCAGTCACAGGACCAAAAAAAGCCACGGGGATTTTCATCAACGGTAAATGCAGGTTGTGTCCCCATAGTTAGAAGCGCTCCAGGCCACAGCATGACAGTAGTTCCCCAGGGAGTGAGGTTATAGGTGACTTCTGTCTTTCCTCTAGTTTCCTGGAATTCTAAGGTGATCCTCTGATTTTTATCATCACACAAAGGCCAAATTTGGCATCACGAATGTCCTTCTGTGGACTGAGATGATCAGGCCCTGCTGGAGCGCTGGTTTCAGGAGGACCACACTTGCAGGTTCCTTAGGGAGTTACAGAGATGG